TCCCCAAAGTTTAGTCTTTCGTTTCCCCGCAGAAAGTGGAGTGCTTTTTCTCCCCTCCTAGGACTTGTGTATTGGCTTGCAGTTAAGCCCCTCGTAGTGGTTAGTTATGTAGGTAGTAGTGTGTGTGTGTGTGTGTGGGGGCAGGCTAGCGCATGGTAGTCATGCACTGTCCCCGGACCCGTGTGCGTGCGTGCGTGCGTGTGTGTGTGTGTGTGTGTGTGCGTGTCTGTCTGTGCGCGCGTCATAACACAGGCAGGAAAATGCATTGGTGCGTGCAGGAAGGCGGGAGAGGTTTGTATTGATCCTGTGGTCCTCCAAGTGGTCCCGTCCAGGCCTTTCTACAGCCTCCTTGCTCCGCCTCCTACCACCAGCATCCCTCCCTCCCTCCCTCCCTCCCTCCCTTCCTTCCTTCTCTCCCTCCCCTCATCCTGCTGAACACGCCCCATACTCCACCCTCCCCACACACGTTCTGGTGGCGTGGTGAGGGGTAGTGTTTGAGGGCGTGGTGAGGACTGACATGTAAGGGCGTGGTGAGGGGGTGTGTATAGGCGTGGTGGTGGGGTCAACCGCAGGCCACCGCAGGAACATTTACCTCCCACACTAATTATTCATCAGTGAGTGAATCTACTGTACATAGTGAAGGTGTCCAGCCTTTCCCCGACGACGACGACGAAAAATAATAATAATAATAATAATAATAATAATAATAATAATAACTTTACTTGAGAAATAAATCCATGTTTGGAATGTAAAAATATGAATGTCTATGTTATTAAAATGATTTCAAAGACTGCATTATAAACTCGTCATACCACGCCAATCTTAACCTGACCTGACCTGACCTATTTGGCTCGACTTTAACTCCTTAGTGATGACCACCTTGTGAGTTGAGTAATTTTTTTATTTTACACTTTTTTCATTAATTGACAACCAAAGTTTTCGCCATACTCTTCATTGTTTAAGGTGAGTAGTAGTGTCTCGTGGCTGATGTATTAATGTTGTATTTACTAATGACTACAGTATTGTATAATATGTCTGATGGGTGTCATATACTCGTCATCTGGGCTTTCTGTTTTATTGGAAGTTTTAGCTAATTGGACATGGTTTCCGGTACACTTTGGACCTGTAGAGTACAAGAGAGTTTGGTGTAAGTTATGTACTCGGGACACATATTATTGACTAGTAATTTTTTTCCCCCCTCCCCCCTTTTTTTAGAGATATTCGTGTGGACAAAACATAAGAAATCTTTAAGAGAAACCTTCACCAACTTTCACCACAGTATCGTTAGGGGTATTGAAAAGCCTGTGGTAATAGGTTTAAACACTGTATAATGGTAATCCAAACACTTAGTTACTCTTGACTGTGGAACTTACCGTGGTGTTGTTCCCCAAGGTCCTTTCTTGTACCCCTGGAGGAATTACAAACCTAAATATGGGTATGATTCAATTACACGCCTCCTCTAGATAGTGTTTGGTGACTCATGACATTTTGGAATATACAGACAGTACCGGCATAATGATCCTCCTATCCTAGCGTTCTACTTTGAGTCGCCGATTATACCGTCTTAAGGAATTTCATATTAAATTTTGATCAACGACACTTAGGTTGTATTCGTGAATTGTTTTTTTTTTATTACATTCCGAAGTTTATTCTGTTTTTATTGTATATAGTTTGTAACTTTATATAGCCTGGCTCCCATTGCATATATTAGGTTAGTTATCCTTTACCTGTCCATTTACATCTTGATGAGTTGTCTTTTAGGAGTCAGCCGAGATGTGGGTTTGGGGGATAAAATCTTTGCTTTCTTCTGTGTGTTGTTGATACTTCCAGTGGTGTTACTTGTTCCAGCCTAACTCTCCTTATAGCTTATACTTCCAGTGGTGTTACTTGTTCCAGCCTAACTCTCCTTATAGCTCATACTTCCAGTGGTGTTACTTGTTCCAGCCTAACTCTCCTTATAGCTTATACTTCCAGTGGTGTTACTTGTTCCAGCCTAATTCTCCTTATAGCTCATACTTCCAGTGTTAATAGTAGCATACTTCCAGTGGTGTTACTTGTTCCAGCCTCTCCTTATAGCTCATACTTCCAGTGGTGTTACTTGTTCCAGCCTAATTCTCCTTTTAGCTCATACTTCCAGTGGTGTTACTTGTTCCAGCCTAACTCTCCTTATAGCTCATACTTCCAGTGGTGTTACTTGTTCCAGCCTAATTCTCCTTATAGCTCATACTTCCAGCGGTGTTAATTGTTCCAGCATAACTCTCTTCACACCTTACTGTCCAATTTTAGAGACGTCGTGCCTGTCATCTCTATTTAGACGCGTTCTTCCTCTGTCTCAAGAATTTCTGTAGTGGATCCTCGGGGTGAGTTACTCGTCACTTAGCTGCTGTGCGCGAGAAAATTACATGGAACTTTCCCTTTGTATCGTCCGGCGGTGTTTGGAGTTATGAAGTTGGGTGAAGGTTAAGTGGTTCGCTCTCCCCTCCCTTCCCTCTCCCTCCGCCTTCCTTCCTCCCCTCCCTTCCTTCCCCTTCCTTCCCCCTCCCTTCCCCCTTCCCTTCCCCCTTCCAGTCTTGTCGTTTTAGGCGTCACTGTTCTTATCTTTCTCGGTATTGAATCTCGTGAGACAAAACATCAATTCTAGTCCTTTGGGGATGTGATGTAGACGCTTGGGTTAGGTGCACATGAGGAGATGAATGGGATCACCTGAAGAATCCCCACCCCGGCTTAGTTCACCTGAAGAATCCCCACCCGGCTTAGTTCACCTGAAGAATCCCCACCCGGGCTTAGTTCACCTGAAGAATCCCCACCCGGGCTTAGTTCACCTGAAGAATCCCCACCCGGGCTTAGTTCACCTGAAGAATCCCCACCCGGCTTAGTTCACCTGAAGAATCCCCACCCCGGCTTAGTTCACCTGAAGAATATCCACCCCAGCTTATTTCACCTAAAGAATCTCCATCCCAGCTTATTCTGTTTTTGGCTGGTTGTGTTATAGTCTCAGGGGAGGAGTTTACCTTCTTGCAGGCTTGAGGAGTGAGTCTTTTTTTTTTTCCAGGACGGATACCGATTGGTGTGATTAACCATACTCTCTCGTTTGTCTTTTTACGATCTCCTTGTTCAAACTTGTAATTTTATTGTGTACTTTTTATTCCACATACAGTGATCTTTTGTTATATCTCCACTATCTGGTGGTGTATTAACTGCCATGCATTATTCTCCTACTGTACTTGGTATTAGGTAACTTTGGATCTGTCTTTCTTATTTACGATTTTTTTTTCTCGCACATTTGAATTACTTGAGTTATTCAGTACTTGACTTTCACTGTTCAGTTTTTCTTTACATCAATTGTGACTCGTATGATGGAGGATTCTTGGTCCTCGTGGTCTCTGCCTTAAAGAGAGCCCCTGGACCTCCATCCACAACTTGAAGACATTTTTTTTTCATACCTCAATGCCTTAAAGGGAATTCGTGAATTTTCGTCCCTTTCTTCAGGATATTTATATCTTTTGATCTCTTGATAGGTTATTAAACGAAGGGTTGAATAGCGAGACCTCATTTTAATGGCGAGGGGAAGAGCAAGATGCCAGGAATTCCTTTAGCATCTCCCTAGATATGTTAACTTATCAGCAGTAAAATTAAACACTGATGTTTGTAATCCAAGTTTATGACTGAGGGATTCAAGTGAACTAGTTGCTGGTTTGTTCTGTTGCTCCTGATAACTTTATAAAATATGGTCCGTCTGGGGAAGGTCCATTTGTAAAGCTTTTACACTGATCCCTCTTGACAGTGTTCCTGCCTCAGTAATATAGATGATACTGTGTACACCAGACAGGCTCTCCTCCCCGGGGCGCTGCTGGTGGGTCGGTCTCGTAGGTCGTTTGTTCCCTCCCCACGGCCTTAAAACGGAATTTATATATATTTTATATCCTCCACCCCATCTGTGGAGAGATAAACATTCATGGATAATTTAATAAATTTGCTTTTCTTAACTTCTAAATCAGGTTACTGCTGCACAAGTGAGATAAGATTGCGGCGCAGACTTTATTCTACTGCACCAAAGTTTCCCTTGATGCATCTATTACAATGGTTCTCTCTCTTTTATAAGGTTCACTCGATTCTAAACCTCTACATTTGTCACCAGAAATTATTATCTCGGGCTTAGTTATGCAGCTGCCTCGACTATTTCGTAAGGTCGTGAATATATTCTGATATTCTTTATGTAAACCTTTTTTTTTGGGTGTGTGTATTGGTCCTGCAACATGATGTAGTATCACGTGCTATTGGTGTGAATTTTCAGTGTTATGAGGATTAAGATGATGTTTATAGTTGAGACTTGATGTGTGCTGCGGAGGGAGAGGAAGCATGCATCTCTTATTAAGGAAGAAGGATGCACATGAATTACAGCAACAATATACAACTGCGGGGCGGCAGTTTTCTGGGGTCTGGTGTAAGAGGGGCACTGCAGCCTCACTACAATGGCTGCCGAATTTTTGTGAAGTGAATATGACTTAGCCGCGTGCTGTCTGGTGTGTGGTCATAGTGGTCTTTGCACCCCAGAAAAGCGACTGATGTTGGGTGGATGGTGTGTGTGTGTGTGTGTAGAGCAGAGGTGAACAAGTGGAAGCACGAGTAATGCGAACAACGGGAAGTAGTGGTGGTCTACCAGAGTGGAGACAGTGTAATGGGTAATTAGGCAGTATGTTGCTGTGTAGGGGAGGTGATTGGATTTCTTATGTACAGTGGATGAAGGTGATGGGAATGTTTTCGGAGAAAATTGTTATGTTGCGGGGGAAAGGTGAGTAGGTCAGTAGAATATATGGCCAGATGGCGGTGGGGAAGGGCAGGTGTGATGGGAGTTTGAGTGGGCGGGAGTGTGGAGGAGGGAGTTTACCTGCATGGTGCAGGTGGGTGGTAGTGTTGAACATTGATCCTGGCCTAGGTCTGGGTGTGTGGTGCGGGTGGCAGGGCTGCTGCGTCAGGAGGCTGCCGCCCGAGCTCAGTCTGGTTCCCGCCAGCTGGTAGTAGGGCCCCGCGCACCCTCCACAAGTCCAGTGGTCGACACTGTCAATATCCCGTTCCAACTCTTTCTCAGTCCAGCCGCTGTCCTGCTGGGAAGACAACCTTCTCTTAAGTGGACAGCAGGTTGACACTCCTCCCCTCTACAGCGCATACTACAGTTTTGGTGTACTGCATTTGTTGTTGATTAATACATTAAAGAAAGAAAATGTGTTTTGTTACAACACGAGAAAGGATGTAACAAATGGGGCGTAGTAGTGTGTTTACTGATGACGGAGGTGACACTGTGAGGTGTGCGCCTTACCTGGGGATGAAGGATCCCTCACTTAATCATACAGTGGAAATACTGGAGTCAATTATTTTGTTTTCATGAGACAATGGATGATTTTCCTGTATGTTTACTGTTATGAATGGCCTCACGCTGTAATAGATTAGTCCATTTATAGATACTATTAAGTCTTTAAACCAGTGTCTCACAGTAGAAATTGTACTTTTTTGTCGTTATGAAAATTTCCAACGTAATTCTGGAGTTGATTGTTTATTGATGAATTAGCTGTACGTGATGGGCCCTAACTGTGTTCAGGGAGGTTCTTGTCGACCCGTATACGTAGAGAAAGGGACATTATAACTGGCCTCTGCTGCAGTTGTATGTGTCGTCGTGTTTTCAGTATTAACACAATTTGAACTCACTGCATTTGTTCGTAAATTGCATTAGAATGTTAATCTCAAGAATGAGTTATGAAAAGTATTGCGTTGAATACCTTAATTTACACCTTACGTACATGTGCACTGTCATTTAATACAAAGAAGATAATTTTTTGGTGAAAGTAATTAGTTTACAGGAAAACCATGATTAAGAGTCATTTGATGTATCGTCTGAAAGGATAAAAAGGCGAACAGTTGAGGAGCCAACCTTGTCCCGTAAACTGGAGACTATTGCGTAGTGTATACAGTGGTGGACCGACGTAACGTTCAGTCATCCGTGGAGGCATAGTTTGTGCTTAAATTATACAGCGATTATTCAGAATTTTTTACAGTGGAATTATTTAACCATTTTGATTGCCAGTTTAAAATTAATGGATTTCACACCTTATTTGGGATTGGTTACTGAGGTAATTAAACTGGTCTGTGTATAACTTTGCTCTCTTGTATGATGCGTTGAGGAGGCAGCTGGGAGGTGATGAGTTTATGGAAGGAAAATCACGTTGTAGGTTTATGTTGATGCTGAGGAATAGACAACGAGTGGATGAGCTGTATGGAGACTGTTGGACTGGGGGGGCGTCACAGTCGAGGTATTCTTACTGCCGTGTTGTAGTATAGTGTGTTTAGTGAGTTACGTGTCAGTGTCCCCGAGGAAGTTTTACAGTGTTGGCCCACGAGTTGACATACCGGGCTGAACCTTCATCAGTAATGGCATGGAAACAGTGACTCGGTGTGACTCATTCCTGCTTGTCAAAATTACGCAGCGTTTTCCTGGAAATGATTAATTTGATGCATCTTAACGAATGGTTGCAGCCATGAGCGAGCCAACAAGAAACAATAATGAGGAGGAGGAGCTCTCGGTGTAGTGGTGTTGAGGGAGGGAAGAGTGACAGTCCAGGGGCCGTGACCGACCTGCGGGATGACTGCATCTCCTCCCGGGTGTTCCAACACATCAGCTTTTCCGATTCAAAATCAATAGCCAGCATCCCATCCGGGCTTTTATTTTGTACCACCATTCCGTGCACAGTGTGTCACCCTCACCCTGTCCTTCAGTTCTACTCTGGGCTGACCAATGTTTTCATATAGTTCTAAACATGAGCGGCAGTTATCATTAATATATTGTTGTTGTTATGTGTTCGTATTATGTGTAATCATATAAGGAATTCAGTAAATTGTTAAATATATACTGAAGGTTTACAGTGAGTTGTTCAAGTTGCACTGTGAGTGAGATTTAGACAATAATTATGATAATTTTATAATGCTTATATGATGTAGTTACACGTTAACAGGTTTTAAGAGCTGAATCGGGTCCTGACACTCCCTGGTATCTTATGTACAACGATTACATTCATTTTCTAATGCAATCTTGTACATTAATTGCAGGGAAGAGAATCACACACCCATTGTACTCTGCACTGTTTATGGCGGTAATAATAGTACCCGCTCGGAAAGGAACGGTCTAAAACTCAAGGCATGGAATGGAGTGCGTGAAAATGATATATTTTTGCCCGAGAGGAAGTAAGCTACAGTTTCACCCAGGAAAGAGCAGATTTTGTGCTCGGCGAGCCTCGAGGGCAACTAACCCAGGCAATGCACTGCTTGTCTTTGTCTGACGGACCTGCCTTGCTTCACGTGTGTGTTTAGTGTCTTGCATTTTACTCTTTATTTCACTTGAATTTTATTTATATGCGTTATTGACATCGACGCTGTGGTTATTTAAAAACAATACAATTTCCGTATAATGGCAAGATGTTGTGACTGGAATTAATGTAGTTTATTGTCCAACATGAAGCTCCTGACGACCAAACCATGTGGCGGTGAAATATCTCGGGTCTTTCTTGTGAGTTGTGATTAGTTTATTGTTGAACACTTCTTATCGTCAATAATTATCTCTGATTAACAGCATGGGGGGAGGGGGGACCCTCTAAAATACGAAGAAAATCAATATGAATAAATTTTAAAATCTCAGCTGGCAAAAGTGTCGAGGAGGTTTAGTCCTGAACTGTTCTGTGCATTAAAGCAGGCAGCCTCCACTCCTGTAGGTGTCGCACTAACCGGTTATAAAACCAAGTACGGCACAAGTTCCTCTCGTACTCAAAGACTTAATGAATAGCTGTAATGAGAGAAACTTGGCACTGTGGCCGAGTCAGCTGCTGTGGAGGAGGAAACCGTCCATTGACTAAATAAGAAATAAGTCAAGTCGTTGTTTTTGTGTACTTATTATTCCGGTAAACAAGACTAAACACATCTTATTGTTTAGTAAAGAGTGGCAGCAGTTCACGAGTTATGGTCGACCATCTGTGGCTGGCGATATAATTAGAAATGAGAGAGTTGAACTTAGTTAAAAGAAAACATATGTTGCGATAACCTGCTGTGTCGTAGCCTGATAAACAAACGACATCCAGCGATCATTTTGTCTGTTGTCGCCATAAATAATAATAATATGGGTTTTTTTCAGACACGAAAGTAAACAAAAACAACGCTCCAGAAAGGGGAAAGTCTCCCCCCTTAGCTGTGGAGCCTGAAGGTCACAGGTCAAGGAGCTATAAAGGGGAAGATTCCTATCGATTTTGGGGTCACTGGGTTACAATATTAAGGTCATATAGTGCTGGTGTTGTAGTGAACATGTAATGATAGTGTTGTAGTGAACATGTAGTGATAGTGTTGTAGTGAACATGTAGTGATAGTGTTGTAGTGAACATGTAGTGATAGTGTTGTCGTGAACATGTATCTGTACTGTTCTTATTAATACTTAGTACTGTGTTAGTGCTTTTTGAATATACTGGATTGGGTTTGTAGTGGTATGTGCCAGCGTTGAGTGAACATGTCTTGGTGAGTAAAGGAACAAGTGAAGGTTCACCGCGGGGTCTGTGGAGATGTAATTATATCGCAGTTGTACCTTATTTGTGCCGACACTTACCAGGCGTTGAGGGGCGGCTCCTTCTGTTCCCGGAATTGTGCAACCAAACATCCCAGCTGACAGCCTGATAACCACAACCAAGTACAGCCTCCTTGACCTGAAAACATTTGATGACTCTTTTATCAAATTCTCTCTTGATAAACCCCCGTTGGTCTTTCAGAGAGCTTACATTGACTCGGAAGATTTTTTCCATTCGTTAACAAGGCTGTGAGTTATGACACCGAAAAAAAGTTTGTCACACTGAAGAGTTATTAGACTACACATGTGCGTTCTTTTGTGGTGTTTGAATGTCGTTGTATTACCGTTTTATTTTTAAATACTCGATACCTTCAAGGATGTTGCGGAAGATGTTTGACTTTTTATTTCGTAATTTTTTTTTTAAGTTCATTTAAAAACTCGTTTGATATAGAGACTTGTTATAGGTGTTTTTTAAGGATAAATTTGGTCTGATGTGTTATGGTTAGTAGGTGAGGACCCTTACCTGCCACCGACCCTGCCTACCTCGCCTCACCTTTTATGTCGTCCCTCTCCTCCTTCCCCCCTTCTCCCTCTCCCCTCTCCCTCTCCCCTCTCCCCCATATCATCTCTCACTGGAGGGGGTTGTTATCACTTGATGCTTCTGTCCGCAGTTAGTGTCCTGTTGACATGTCTTCCTCTCACTGACATATGATGGACACACCGAACTCCCGCATCTTCATCAAGTGGCGTGTGTCTCTAGATTAGGTTAGGTTAGATTAGATTAGATTAGATTAGGTTAGATTAGATTAGGTTAGGTTAGGTTAGATTAGATTAGGTTAGGTTAGGTTAGATTAGGTTAGGTTATGTTAGGTTAGGTTAGGATATTATCTGGCCATCGTAGCGTTGGAGGATTTAAGGGGCTGGGTGAGGCCGGCGAAAAGTTTGCTGTGTTGGTAATGTTGAGCTGTTGTCCCTGTTCTCCTTACCAGCAGTTACGGTGGCTGGAGTCTGTGAGTGAGACATAAAAGGAATTCACGTTGTTATTTGACGTGTGTGTGTGTGTGTGTGTGTGTGTGTGTGTGTTGGGGGGAGGGGACTTTAAGAGTAACCATGGATGTTGATTGTGGTAGATGATGATGGTTGTTGTTGTGGTATGTAGTGGTGTTCAGGTCCAATTGACTGTGGTAGGTGAAGTGTGTTGTGGTGCCTCAGGGTGATGCTTGACTGTATAACCCGAGGCCACGTTAATCGACACAAGATAAAATTTCTCTAAAAAAAAAACCCATATCGTTATGTAACAATAATAATGATGATAATACTTAGGCCAGTTTGCTTCTATCAACCCCACGTGTCCGTCATCTTCAATATACTGTAGTTAAATATTGATTATATATAGCGTGATGTCGTCATCGTGTCGTCATCGTGTCGTCATTGTCATCCAAGTGCTGATTGGTTGATTTTTTTTTATGTAAGAAGGAAAGAGTGCAAATAGTGAGGCACAGTTTTAATGATGTCACAGACTGTACACACACAAAAAAGATGCTGC